CCTGGAAGAGCCCGGCGGGCCGTGGGGCACTGGGAGAGGCATGGATCCCTTGCGGGATGCTTGGAAAGCAAAAGAGGACCACAATGCAGGAGCTGGTTCAGACTCTTCTAAGGCAACCCTACTTATTTGGGTACGCTCCTTCTTCTCCTGTTAGTTCACATGCCGTAGTTTTGACAGTTAAAATTCTTGTTCCGCTTAGAGTTTTGATGTTTATGTTAACAGTTTGGAGAGCAGGCAGGCTGAAACAAATATGCTGAGAAAAAAGTGATGGTTTTCCGTATTAAGCAAAAAATATATATATCTGGCTAACGTGATGGTCCAGGATGCAGGCAGCAGAGAAGGGAGCTTGGTGCTCCCTCCCCGAGGATGCTCTCAGCTGAGAGCAGGGCAGCCCGGCTGGGAGGAAGGCAGGGAGAGGAGCTGGCATGTTACCCACGAGGGAAAGTCCATCACAGGAAGGGGAAGCAAGTTCTGGGTCAAAATCTACCTTCTGAAAACCAATATTCCTGCTACTATGGAGCACTGAAACCCAACCTTTTCAGGAGCGCTACAGCAAGGAAGCAGAGGTGCTAAAAATGTTGAAGCTAAAAGCGATGGGAGTTCACTGCCTCAGATCTGGGGCCCTTGAAAGACAAGTCCTATTTTCAAAGCCGGGGCTGGTGTTTTGCTGAAAACCAGCACATGCGGACTACACGGGCATTTCAGAAAATGTTGTGCTAACTGCTCTGCCAGTAGGAATCCATACCCCCTGATTATGTGGTGTGACCACGGCCTTTTTGGAGCTTTTTGTGGTAAAGGGGGAAGAAGCCCATACTTTGATTGAATGCATTTTCTAGTCATTCTAATAGAGAATGATTTTGGTTCGCAGAAATAAAAACCCTACAATGGATCGTTCATGGTAAAATAAGCCACAACCTAGATGTAAAATATAAAAGTTCTTAAGAGGGACTGTCTACAAGCTGATCAGCTCTGTACTAATGCCACTTATGCACCACAGTAAGTCTTCTGAAAGGCCACAAACCAGAGGTGAAATGAGTGATGCTTAGGCCTTGGCTTGACCACTTGTGCAGGGATGAATTTTAACCTCTGACACTACTCCTTAACATTGCTGCTCATTTGATGGTTAGAACAAGAGAAATTTCCATTAAAATTCCAGGGGAAAAAAATTACATTTGATTTTGGCTGTCTCCTGGCTTTCAAATTTGCCTCTGATAATTTTTCTTTTCTCCAGAATGGCAAATTCACAGAAAGGAAAAAATTTGAAAGACGTGAAAACTGTGTGTGCTAGTGCAAGGAAATTAATTAAACTGGTTTTAAAACTGCAGTTTTGCAGTCTCCAAATTGCTTTAGTTTGGAGAAACATATTTGAAATTTAAAAAATGATTACAAAGTATTTATAATGCAATTATAACCTGAAATCTGGCCAACTTTTATTGTTGAGAAAACCAGAAAGGAAATAATTTTTTAAAAATGCTATTCTTCTTTTTCTGGTGGCTGCTATTATTTTACTCTTTTTATTGTTGCTGCCATTATTACGCCCTTTGTCGAGCTCCGAAGCTGGGACCCCACGTGTTTCACAGGCGCTGATTCATTCTCATGCTGTCCTGCGAGGTGCCCGCCCCTGCCTCCGGTTCCCAGGTCCAGTTCCACACGGTTTTCTCAATGCCGAACAAACCCAAAACTTCTTAAGACGGTTTGATATATTCAAGTCCCTCGCAGTGATCTGACTGTGTAGCTGCATAAGGCACCACGACTGCTACATCTTCTCAGTTCCCTGTGTTCTGTCGTTCCCTTAAGTGACTGTCCTGGCAATTAGCTGTATTGAACAATGGCATTGTCTTCCAAAATGGCAAGGGGACACCCTGAGCAACTGGGCCTAATGCTGCGAGAAACAAGCAGGAGAGCAGCACTACCTATGTTATAGCTGTTCCTACCACCTGTGTATGCTAACGTGCGGTGAGCATCTCTGTCTTGGGGTGATAACAACAGGGCGCGTTGCCTCCCCCAGCCTCCGCACTGCCTGAAAGGTCGCCGGAGCCCGGAGAAAGAGCCCCGTTGGCTGCAGAGGGCTTCGAGTCAGGCCCCCGATAAAGAAGCGAGGGTGGAAAGCAGCCGTCCAAGTGAATTTTAGAGAATGCGTTAAAATGTGCAAAAGCAGCAGGTAGAAATTAAATCGGGCTGATGGAAGTTGCTCTCGAGACCACTCGACCCTTGCAGCTTTGCATTAGTATGAAACCACCTTCCCTTGGGAGAGGAGGAGGCCAAGGGAGGAAAAAGCCGAGAACAAAGAGGGAAGAGGAGAGACAGACCGAGAGACAAAGGCAGGAAGGGAACAGACACTCCGGGAGCAGCGAGGGGACCCTGGAAACCAGCGGGGTGGGAGTGGGAAAGGGCAGCCGTGCAGCAGCAGTGCTGGGGACCGCAAGGAGGGGATGTGGGAAGTGGAAACAATATCAGAAAAGGAAAATAGGACAATGAAATGCAGCAGGAGAGAAAAGAAAGAGCCTGGGGGACTAGGGTTGGGCAGAAGTTGGCGGAGAAGAAACTGGAGCTGGGCAGCTGATTGGAGATAGCAGGCAGAAGCGTGGAATAAGTGAAAGGGGCACAAAAGGGACAGAAGGAAACAAAAAAGCGATGATAAGGCTCCGGAAGGAACTGGGTCATGGCAAGAAAAAATAGCCAAAATGCTAAGTACAGAGCAGAAAGGATGGGAGCGGCAAAGGGTAGCAGAAGTAACAAAAGTGAGGCATCAGAAAAGTGAAGCCGAAGGGACGGGAGGTGGGGGAAAGGTCCCAGAGCAGAAAGCAGCTGATGAAAAGGGAGGGGAATGGTCAGGAGGGCAGCTGTGAAGCCAGGGGATAGGCAGGAGGAGTGAAAGCACAATAAATAAAAGGGACTGAAAAAATGGGATGGGGAGATGTGGGAACTGGTTTTGCAGAACACTTGCCTCATTTCTGCACTGTCACCAATACTCTTTTGTAGCCCTGTTCCTTCACAGTTCATCTGCCAGCACCTCGTAGTACATCTGTCCCACTAAAAAGAAGCCAAGGCAATGACAGGCCCCGTTCTCTAATCCAAGCTATACAATGTGTCCCACATCCACATGGTCACATCCAAATGGCCATCTAGGTACAGCCCCTGGCACAAGCCATAACTTGTAACAGGCCTGGGCACTGGCTGGGAAAGTGCCTGCTGGCATGGGCCAAAACCACACCAGGGAGCTCGCTAAGCCTTGTATGGAGGGTTGCAGGGCAGCTCGTGAGCCCCTGGCTTGGAGTTATCTTCTTCCCTAATGCAAATCCAGCTGGGATCACTTGGAAACTGAGTCCCTCACTTGCTTTGAATGTCCTCCTCACTATCCTCATCTCCCCTAACATCTCTCCCCAAGAGCTGCGGAGCACGGTGGGACTGAGGCAGACTGGGACCTACCAGGCTAGATGCCTGCTCCATATGCCCTGGCTGGGTCTGCCTCATCCCACTGATGTGTGTGTTGCCCTGGGGTCGGTGCCAAAACCCCAGGCATGACTTGCCCTCTCTTGGTGGAAAATGAGAAGGGGGAAGAAAAAGAGAAGAAAGACCAGGCTACGACTGCATGGCCTGTGAAGAACTGCTGCTGATGGAGGAGCGTGGTCAGAGATGTCAGATTCAACGCGGGGTGAAAGCCAAATTCCCTTTATTTGCTATGGACTGAGCTTTCACTGCTAAACATGCACAACCCTCAGGCTGCAGTGTCGTTTGGTGCAATGAGAGGAAAGTCCACCAGTGGCAGAGATGGGGCAGAGAGGAGAGGTAGGAACAAGTGGAGAATGGGAGATCAGGAGAGGAGAGGAGGAAAACTCAGCATAGGGTAAAGGAAAGCAACATGGGGAAGCGGAGGAGGGTGTCTTGTGGCTGCCAGCAGCAGCAGCAGTGCCGTGGTTCAGGCAGGAGGATGAGGAGGAGGTCAGGAAGAAGCAAGGATGGAACAGGACAGGTAGGGTAGTGCAAGCTTGTTACCATGCTTGCTTTGTCTATGGCTGTGAACCCTAGGTGGGTGGTAGGATGAAACCATCTGGAGACCTGACACAAGCCTTATACGGGAGGATGCACCACTGAAAAACTGGATGAAAAGGGGTGGGTGAATCCTCCTGCTTCTGCTCCACTGCTGTCTCCTGCATGACCAGTGCAAGGAGGTTCTGTGCCCTGCTTTGAGAAGGCTATCCTGCCTGCCCTGCGCTGCATTTTCCCAGGCCCCAGCCTGGCACCGTGCTCCTCTCCGGCTGGTCCCCTCTTGGTGGCTGTGCGGATTTTGAGAGAAGGAGAACTGTCTCTGGGCCTTCATGCCCGCGCCTTCCCTTCCCTCTCTGACGGGTGGCAGGGCCTGCCTCGAGGCTGCCCACTAGGTGGGCCCTGGCTCATCCCAAGGTGAGATCCCACTTTCCACCAAATTCTCCTTCCTGAGAGACCCCTGCTTTGTGCCAAGCTCTCGGGCACATAGCCGTGGGAATATGGAGAGCCTGGAGCGAGATCATTAGCGTCACACAAGTCCGCCCACACCCGAACCTCCAGCCCCCGAGACCCGAAACTGCAGCACCCAAGAGGCACCTGGACCCACCACAGCGTTGGTGGGTTGATGAGAAGCGGCACCCGAAGGGCGGCAGCGAGACGCACGGCATCTCTCCCCGGCCCTCGCGTCCGCTTCCCGCGTGGAGTCCACAGCGAGGAGGGAGCGAAGGGACCCCCAGGCACCCGACCGCGGGGTGTCCCGCCCCGCCGCGGACCGCCCCGCGGGGGCGGGCTGGGT